CAGGGTTGCTATTTAGAACTTCGTTAAATGATAGATCCAACAATAATAAATATTCAAGTGTTTGGTAACACATTATCTTTCATTTTAATGGATTCAAAAGTCTTTTCTTAGGGCAATTGTATTAAAGATGGATATCATAGTTTATTTTCATAAAATCCGTTGCTAGGCAACGAAACAATCATATTAACAAAAAATGTTCAACATTTTTTTAAGTCATTATGCATAGACTAATGATGGATTGAATATGAAGTCATTTGAAGAGGGGGCCAAAAATGCCCCTTATCATACCTTGTCCTTTGGTGTGAACTCATGATTAATCTTCTTAAACAGCATTGAATCTGTCTAATTATGTTGTGAACTTATGTTTTTAAGCATGTCGCTTTGATATCCATCACTTACTGCTTCTATGTATATAAAACATATAAACATAAACGACCAAATTTATAAGTATAGGTAAGTATGTTTGTCACTGGGTAGATTTTGCGATCAAAAAAGGTATTTCCGGTTTTAAAGGTTTCATTTGGTTGACACACGTATCTAGCAACAATGAGTTTTGGAATCAGTATATGGTATGAGCTAATACATGGTACAATATTAAACCATACAGTCACGCCGTAACTTCGTTACGTCCTGTTCATTAGATATTGTTTTCTCTCGAGAAAATGAAGGTATATGATCTTACAAAAACGTATTCTAAACACAGGTTAAACCTCCTTGTCAATTATTAACGATTTTCGAATTCAGCGTGCCAAACAAAATTCAATTGTTGTTTTATATTTTTTCAGAAGAACTCTATATGTGTGACGTATAAATGCATTCAAATATCACATCGGGCCAATGCTTGAATGATATCATAGTTTTGTACAAATGGTTAATGCTGGAGTGATGTCATACATTTAGTTTCATTGACAGAAATTATATTTTCTCAAAATTGCGCATGCGCCGATTTTACATTATTTAATTAAACTTGTTTTTTACTAGAATGTAATGGGAAATCAATTCAAATAATGTTTTTCTTGCTCTTAGCCTATAGTATACACCTGAATAATTCTGAAAGATATCATAGGTTTATACATCTGGCCAATGTTGTCATGATATAATAGTTTTACAAAGCTGGCTTATGCTGGAGTAATAACATAGTTTTGTACATCTGGCTAATGCTGTATATCATAATTTTATCTCGACTAGCTAATACTGAAATGACATTTTAGTTTTTATCTGGCTAATACTGAAATGATTTCATAGTTTCGTACATCTGGCTAATGCCGGAATGCCAATATAGTTTTATCTGGCTAATACTTGAATGATATCATAGTTTTATCTAGCTTATATTAGAATGATATCATAGTTTAATCGAGCTTATATTAGAATGATATAATAGTTTTATCGAGCTTATATTAGAATGATATCACAGTTTTATCCAGCTTATGTTCAAATATCTAATATAAATCAGTCGATTTGAAAAGCTCACTGAGCTTGTGTTTACGTAGTTTTTTGAATATCGACTCTAAATAAAACTTTGAATTGAATATCATAGTTTTATTGAACTTATATTAGAATGATATCATAGTTTTATCAATTTTATATAAGAATAATATCATAGTTTTATCGACCTTATATTAGAATAATATCATAGTTTTGTCTAGCCTTTATTATGATGAAATCGTAGTTTTATCGAGCTTATATTAGGATAACATCGTAGTTTTATCTAGCTAATGCTGGAACTATATCATAGTTTTATCTAGCTAATACTGGAAAAGTATCATAGTTTGATCTGGCTAATGCTGGAATGATATCATAGTTTTGTACATCAGGCTTATGCTGGAATGATATCAAAGTGTTATACATCCGGCTAATACTGGAATTATATTATAGTTTGATCTGGCTAAATGATATCAAAGTTTTATCTGTTACCAGGCTAATATCAAAATTATACTATTGATTTATAATGATTTTCAAGGGAAATACTTAAATAAGTCTCATTTACAGATATAAAACTCTCATTCCTGTCAACATGTTCTCCGTCGTTAGGAAGTACATATGGTCAATGCGTTGTAAAAACTAGAAAGCTATAAATATAGATTTTTAAATAACTGATATCAAAACTGTTTTTAATGTCAATTTGTCAAAATGCTGAATCTTCTCTTTTAAGTATTCGTGAGAAAAGAGCCAGAATTTGAAAAATTCATTTCTTAATCTAATGAAAATGTAAACAGTTTTGTCAAAATTCCCAATCTTATTGGATTTTAAAGGGTATAGCGAAAACGACCTCGTTGATAAGCATTCTTGATTGATATGTCTTCAATATTATCAAGAAGAACATCTTAAACTATTTTTCATCCGTCTATATATTTGGCATTTTAAATAATATCATTTATAGCAATTGGCAGAAAACGCCATCAATATCCATTTCGATATCGACCGAGACATTTATATTAGTGTGAAATATATAACCTATCAGAGAATGATAAACTAAAGTGAACAATTATGTTCCACATGATAAAAGACAATCCGAAAACAAATGTAGAGATAAAACATTAAATGTGGTTAATGGTCATGTAGAAAACGTCGACATAATAGTAAATAGATCGGTGAAGATAAATATAGGAAATGTTTAGGTACATTGTCACTGGGTCGGAAAAAATAAACACTTACCACCCCCATGTATCATAAACGATGTCGAATATAGATTCATTACAGCAAGCAGTGAAATGGAAACAGCGAAATACGTGGTAATAAAGGAGAGGTAACTGCTTGAGATTGATGGTGGAAACACAGATTAAACAATTTGGTACTAGTACTTTATTAGTTTAATGCACACCTAGTATCTCGTTTTTGTGACAAAAATCTTTAAACACTTTTTTCGACATCCCCTTTTTAACTTACTAACGGAGAATATATGTGTCCCTTTTTCACAGATTTCATCCTTTACTGAATTGAATATCCATTTAAACTTTTTATACGATGTTATCAATTTCCCCCAATATATATGCCAGTGAAAGTCTGAAGATATTTTATCAATGTTAACAACTTCCCCCTTAATATGCCAGTGAAATTCTGCAGACATTATATATATATAGATTATAACATGGCATTTTTCATATCAGACCCTTATCAGCCCTAGGTCATGATATCAGCCCGAGAGCCGAATGGCTCGAGGAATGATTTTGACCATGGGCTGATCAGGGGTCTGATATGAAAAATAACATGTTATGTTCTTTTTATCATATACTTCAGCAGAAGCCATACAGACATGAAAGCTTTTTTAAAACTTTATAAAATTCATTTATTGTATTATTTGTTTTGCGTTTTTTAATAATATATTTTCCTGTTTCCTAATATTCCTTCTGTTATTCTACTTAGCTATGTTTTTCACTCAAATGTACCACTGAGGTTTATTTTCCGGAATATGCAGAATGACGTCGAAATGCTTTGCGATTACGTTAAAGAAAGGCAGGCAATAATAACCGGAAGCAGTTGATATAAACCGGAAACAGTTGATATATACCGGAAGCAGTTGATAACAAAAGTCATATCACACGGCTAAGACAATTCTTCAAATTTATTGAATAAATATATGTATAAATTAGTTTTATCAAGGGGTACAATTATACCATTATTTTCTACAAGTATATGATAAATGATGTTATCAATCACCCTAAATATGCCAGTGAAATTCAGCAGAAATTTTATAAGATAAGAACTTACTCTTATTTACTCCAACGACTGAAGATCGTGCAAAAATCGCCCATCCTTTGATTCATAAATAAGCTAATATTTGTATTTTCGTAATTCTATGTCTTTTATATAATTAACTGAAATGAGTTCTTTGAAAAAAATGGTAATTCTTGGTGTTGTCCTAATGTTTGCAAAAGTTAAAGGCGTTTGATACGAATTTAAAAAACAGGAAAAAAAACCCAATATGATCTATTTAACGTTCAATTTAACAGTGTCCATTTTACTTTAAATTTTATTATTGAATCTAAACGACATCATTCCAAAATGAGTCGTTTTTAACATTTTTACAACTATCCATAAAATCAATGTTTATAGTCGGATAGATGAAGACATTTTTGACAAAATATAACATATTTTACATGTCTTTGTGCAACTTTTGATTAAAAAACATATAGAACAAAAATTAATTAATTCATACTGCTGAAAGACAATGTTTTCCTTCCGATAGTAAAATTCTTCAATCTTCTTAAAACTGTCTTAGTTTTACTGATATATTGGCATGATGATATAATCTAGAAACTGGAATACAATGTAAATTTTGATTGTCGTATGCCGCCATAAAGATGTTCGAAATTGATATATTTGACCTAAAATGGAGGCTACTTGTGACAGTTCTTGCAGTTTTGCATAAAATGCAAGAAATTTGTTACCCATAATCAAATATATTGGATTAGATTCCAAAATATAAAAACACTGGACACTTTTAATTTGCAAAACACTCATTTGCAAATCCGCCGCCGCCTCTCCTTAGACCTACAGTGTCGTGTAAATAACCAAAATGTGCGGAATTACATGGGATTCAATAATTTCATTGCTTTTCTGCTGTTATTATTATATATATTTTGTAATTTGATTTAGAAAAACATGGGATTTTCAATATCCCATGGGATAAGGCAAATCCCATGGGATTGACCATTATCCCATGGGATTTTGGTTAAATCCCATGGGATTTTTTTGGGTCCCATGGGATAATTGTAGTCCCATGGGATATTTGTTGTCCCATGGGACAAAAAAAATCCCATGGGACTATAATTATCCCATGGGATTTTTAATATCCCATGGGACAAAATAAAATCCTATGATTCAAATTATAAATATACAGTAAATAAATGTGTATGTTACAATGAATTCTGTTTGGAAGTAAATTGTTTTAAGATGAATCTTTTTAGTTGAATGTCTTTTTTTTCCTTGGAAATGTTAATGCAATTATATTGTTCTATAACTGTTCAAAACTAAACTTTTAAACAACAAAGCAGATAATGTAAGTATCAATATATGTTTATTTATGAATTCTAGAACACTTTTTTGAAACACAATTTTTTCCCATTTGAAATCAATGAAAACTCTATTAATAGGCTTAACATACTAGTAGCTTTTTACATAAATCTATTTTTTTTTCAGGATATCCCTCCACCCAAAAAATTAATAGTTTCTTATCATCCAGCATTGTGTGATCGTAATGTATAGTCCACTTTTTTGCCATTCAGCACAGAACATTGTCATTATTGTGGTTTTAATATCTTTAGATATTTAATAGAACTACAATTCATTGGCTGAGTGATGAAAATAATAACTGATCTGACTTTTGTCTTTGAATTTATTTTGGTCTTGTTTCTGTGTTTTCTCCTTCTATTCTCAGTGATGAATTCCAATCCTTCTGAAAAAGAACCAATAAAATCCGAAGTTATGGATAATAAAAAATTGTATACATACATGTAGCAAGAACATATGATTTTCAATAAAAATAGCTATGCGGTATGGATTTTACTGATTGTTGAAGGTTGTCCAGTGTCATCAGTTGCTAACCTCCTACATCCTTTGGTCTCTGATGGACAGTTGTCAAATTAGCAATATACCACATCTTCCTATTCTAATATTATATAACAATCAATTTATGTATTCTTCTTTATAACATTTGGGTATTTTCCCCAGTTATATATATATAGATCAATGTTAAAACTTTAGGCAATTACAATAAAATTCCATTTTTCACAAGAATTTGCAATATATTATACAGAAAGCCAACAATAGAAACAGCACTTCTTTAAGCTTCTGAAGTTCTGAAAGAGTTCCACTTGTGTTTTATTTCAATTAGAAAATACATTGAACTCTTTGGACATGTTGGAAATTATAACATTGATACAAAAAATTATATTGGTTTTTTTTTCTTATTTTTGTGTTGTTCGGTTGCTGTCTCATTTTTATATATGGTTATACATATATCCTAAATCTTCTTTTTTATATACTTAATCATTAATACACAAGGTAGTAAAAATGGGATATTTTTTATTTTGATAATCTCAAAACATTATTATTCTATCAAATAACTTATTTCCAAGTTCACAAAACACCAATGTGTCAGATATTAATTTTAAGACATGTATAAACATGATCAACAAGCAGTTGACAGGATGTCATGCAAAAATCTCACTAATATTAAACTTTCACAAAAACTCCATACTCAGCGAGTACTATTAAAGTTCTTAGTACAGGACAAATTCCTAGTACAGGACACAATGCCTGGCAAACACTAGCATGTGTCAATGTCTAGTCAATCATGTAATCAGGCTCAAAATCTTATTTTGGCACTGAATTTAAAAATTCACCACATAATGAACATGTGCATGAAATTCAACTTCATGGTAAGCTATGTACCTTAACCTAAAACTTTAACCTAAGAATGTACTATAATTTCACATTATGACATTTCTATGTTCAGTGATCCATAAAATCAGGGTAAAAACAGTAAATGTGGTGTTTAATGTATACACAAGAGTGCACACACTGAAATGTTGCGCCTTCTTTACTAATCATTGATATCATGTTGATAGTCCTAAATATAAAGCTTTACTACAACTATCACATAAACTCAACATGATCCAAGAAAATGAATTCAAGGTCATATAAACCTGACAAGAAATATATGTACACCTTACAATCATTCAAATTACTAAATACAGTTGACCTACCGGTATTGCTTATAGTTTCTAAGAAGCAGACTTAACCAAGAAAACTAAACATTGACCAATGAACCATGGAAATGAGGTGAAGATCAGATGAACCATGCCAGGCAGACATGTACAGCTTACAATCCTTCCATACAACACATATAGTTGACCTATTGCTTATAGATTGAGAAAAACAGACCAAAACACAAACACTTAACACTGAGCAATGAACCGTGAAAATAAGGTCAAGGTCAAATTAAACCTGCGGGACTGACATGTACATCATAAAATGTTTCCATACACCAAATATAGTTGACCTATTGCATTTAGTGTTAGAAAAAAAGACCAAAACTCAAAAATTTAACTTTGACTACTGAACCATGAAAATGAGGTCATGGTCAGATGACACCTGCCAGCTAGACATGTACACCTTACAATCATTCCATACACCAAATATAGTAGACCTATTGCATACAGTATAAGAAAAACAGACCAAAACACAAAAACTTAACTATAACTACTGAACCATGAAAATGAGGTCAAGGTCAGATGACACCTGCCAGTTGGTCATGTACACCTTACAGTCCTTCCATACACCGAATATACTAGACCTATTGCTTAAAGTATCTGAGATATGGACTTGACCACCAAAACTTAACCTTAAATATAAAAAAGAAGATGTGGTATGATTGCCAATGAGACAACAATTCTACACAAGAGACCAAATGACACAGAAATTAACAACTATAGGTCACCGTACGGCCTTCAACAATGAGCAAAGCCCATACCGCACAGTCAGCTATAAAAGGCCCCGAAATGACAATGTAAAACAATTCAAACGAAAAACTAACGGCCTAATTTATGTACAAAAATTAATGAATGAAAAACAAATATGTAACACATAAACAAACGACAACCACTGAATTACAGGCTCCTGACTTGGGACAGGCACATACATACAGAATGTGGCGGGGTTAAACATGTTAGCGGGATCCAAACCCTCTCCTAACCTGGGACAGTGGTGTAACAGTACAACATAAGAACGAACAATAATAAAATGCTCCGCTGGGCGCAGCTTGATACGACCGCAGAGGTCGAACCCTGAACAGTTGAGGCAAGTATGGACACAACATTCAAGCTTGATACAGCACTGAATTTGGAATGTGATAAAATATTTAACACAGCATAGGTTTCTGACACAGAATGAATGTGGTCTAAGAACTTAAAAAATTTTAATTTACCTATTCAAACCATATCATAATTATTTGCTTTTATATATAAATCAGAAATAACCAATTTAAAATGGAAAATTTTAAAGTAAAAAAAAAAGGGAAAAAAATCCCCCCCCCCCCCAATTTTTTGAACCCCCTTATGATTCATCACCCCAAAACTCAATAACAGCCTTCCCTTTGTGGTATGGTACCTTACAGTACAATTTCAGAGAGATTCATAAACTGAACCATGAAAATGAGGTCAAGGTCAGATGACACCTGCCAGTTGGTCATGTACACCTTACAGTCCTTCCATACACCGAATATACTAGACCTATTGCTTAAAGTATCTGAGATATGGACTTGACCACCAAAACTTAACCTTAAATATAAAAAAGAAGATGTGGTATGATTGCCAATGAGACAAAATTCTACACAAGAGACCAAATGACACAGAAATTAACAACTATAGGTCACCGTACGGCCTTCAATAATGATTCATACACTGAACCATGAAAATGAGGTCAAGGTCAGATGACACCTGCCAGTTGGTCATGTACACCTTACAGTCCTTCCATACACAGAATATACTAGACCTATTGCTTAAAGTATTTGAGATATGGACTTGACCACCAAAACTTAACCTTAAATATAAAAAAGAAGATGTGGTTAGATTGCCAATGAGACAACAATTCTACACAAGAGCCCCTAATTCCTAAAATTTTGAGGCAATTACCCCCAAAATCAATCCCAGCCTTCCCTTAGTAGTATGGTACCTTGCAGTACAATTTCAGAGAGATCCATACACTTGAACACAAGTTATTGTCTGGAAACTAGAAAAATACTTATTTTTGGCCCCTTTTTCCTAAACGTTTTGGGCAATTACCCCCAAACTCAATTCCAGCTTTCTCTTTGTGATATGGAACCTTGTAGTACAAATTCAGAAAGATCCATACACTTACACACAAGTTATTGTCATGAAACTAGAAAAATGCTTGTTTTTTGCTCCTTTTTTGGCCCCTAATTCCTAATAATTTGAGGCAATTACCCCCCAAAACCAATCCCAGCATTCCCTTTGTGATATGGAACCTTGTGGTACAATGTCAGAGATCCATACACTAACACACAAGTTATGTCTGGAAGTTACAAAAATGCTTATTTTTGGCCCCTTTTTGGCCCCTAATTCCTTAACTGTTGGTACCATAACCCCCAAAATCAATCCCAACCTTTCTTTTGTGGTATTGAACCTTATGGTAAAATTTCATAGAGATCCATTCACTTAAACTAAAGTTAGAGTGCGAAAACCAATGTGTCTTCGGACGACGACGACACCGACGACAACATCATACCAATATACGACCGCAAAAAAATCAGTTGAAAGAGGCTTAAAGGGAAACTCCGCAAAAAAATGAAAAATTGATATTTTGTTCTTTAAGCATAAAAAACCACATGTTCATAAATAAAAAACTTTTATTCTCTATGTAAAGAGATCAAAATCGATTTTTGAAATTCACTATCAGTTCTCGACATATCGCCATCTTGTCGGCATGTTCGATCTAAAAAGTCACGTGATATCTATAAACCACAAAGAACAAAAAGAATCGGGGATTTACCGACCTTGCGTTAAAAACTCCCATCATCAATTGGGGATTACCATAGACGGTTATTCACTGTCAAAATGTCTTGTCAAGCGTACGGTTGTTCTGTCAGACAAGGTTAGGACAAAAGTCTACATAGTTTTCCCAATCCCACAAAAAAAGAAAGAATTGTATCAGACATGGTTGTACAACCTTAAACTAACAGCAAATAGTTGCATCTATAGCAACCACAAGTTGGTGTGTGAAGACCATTTTGAACAATATTGTTTCGAGGGAGATTCGAAGGTGATTATCCTTTTTTAATAACAAAATAACCTAGCAGTTCTGATAGCTATAGTTATCAAATCCTTATATGATAAGATCTCGTTGAATAAAAAAATATAGATTTGATGAGGAAGAACAGTTTCAATTGTAAGAAAGACAAAATTAAATGCAGTGTTCTCGTAACAATCACTGATTTACAGAAGATTCATTAGTATGCCTCTTTTATATAAAGTGTATTGATTTGTATAAACAATAGTTCCGTATTTAGACAAGATAATTTTTCAATTAATAAAGATATACGATATAAAATAACATTTTTTAATTATGATATTTAACGGCTATTGACAAGGAGCAATGTTAGGAAGAGGTTTTAGCTGGGACATAATATGTTGATATAGTATAATATTCCCAGGTTATAGATATGTAAATATCGAAATATCGGACTTCTAAATTTTTTTTATTAAAAGTGGGTTTTTTTTTTTAAATAATCTTTAGATTATATCAAATTGATACGGGATCAATTCGGAACGGTCACTTATAAAGACATTTAGTTAAATGTGTGACTCTATCTGGTATGTTCGGTGAAAAATTTATAGGTTTTTTTTCTTTTTAAATTTTATTTACGTTATCTTATTATATATATATTTTGGCTTCCTCCCGAATTGATAATAGGTATGTCAGAATTATTGATAGATGTCGTGTCAGAGCGACACATTCAGTTAGGTATTCCAAGGACGTATATATTAGATACACGTCCCTGGGTATTCCAGTGACATCCTGTCAATTTAAAATTCGTATTACACAATTATATAATACAGGTTCATGCATGGCCTCTTTATTGAGGTACCCGGTGTGCACAGGTAACATTTATTGAACCATATATTTGTGTCTAACGTTGTTTATCTTGTGTGTGTTTGAAATTATAATTCCACCTTTTAATGAATGATGTTCTGATAATAATATCCACTATTTTTGCTGATAATAAGTTTAAAAAAAATTATAAACATGACCTTTGAACATTTTTGTGAAATGAATATTGTTTTGTCATGATTCTGGACCATATTTTTGAAGAAAAAAAATTCTTCACGCAAATACAAGCTTTTGTCGATTGGCAAACATGCAGATATATAAAGTAATGCAGCACTTATAGCCACTATCAATATTAATTCATTGGAGATAAGAGAGCCCCTTCTATGTCTAATGTCCCTATCTTTATAAGGATTAGGACGACAGGGGAAAAAGGAGCGGAGATAGAGTGGCATAGTGAAAAAAAAATAACCGAATAGAGAACAATATATAGAATGATCGACAAAAAGCGAAATAGTTATTGTAAAGGAGCGGAGATAAAGAGAAGCATAGTGAAAAAAAATGTTTGCTTGACAAAGTTATTGCTCGCTTTGATATTTTTAGTTATACAAAATCACACATCGTGTTCCTAATTGGTATTCACGTGCACTAACTTGATGCTGGGAACAGTATATTAATATATGTTCCTGCTTGATGTGTTAGGTTTCTGCATAGCATGGTTAAAAATAATTAGTATCCCATTTGTTATATCATAGTGTCACGGTGTTACTTTGTTAAATTTATTTAGTTTGTTAATGATTGTGTAAATAAGAATAAATCTGTATAAAAACTTCATACCATTTTAGTGATTGCCTATAGGCGTTTGATTATTGTTACATTTAAGATATATATATGTTTATTTAGAACCTTTCATTCATCTTAAAGTAAAAGATGTGTGTCTGAGTTAAACGACACAAGAACCCTGTAATACTAGTACGAGAGTATAGCATGTAAAAATTCCTACTCAATATGGTTGTATTGGAAATCTTTTCATACAGATTGACAACTCATGGTCCGACATGCATGTAATATTTGCCACATAACGCTCATAGTTCTTTCTACCATCATCATCTTATTCATTAAATATTGCTGTAAACATCGATGGTTCACACCCAAACAAAATGGGAGTAATATACCTTCAGATCTTCTCCGTGGTATACACTTGTGAAATATATATAGACGAAATACATTACTAAGATATGCCTTTAATTACAACAACTGTATTACTAATTTGGATTAATGACGGCTATCCTAAAAAAATCCTCAAACAAATTAATGCATTAGCTTAGATTTATAATGTATGTATATTCATTAATGAAATAAACGATAATTGGGTATTCTTTTCACAAATAATTTGTCTAAGTGATTGTCAAATGAATTTAATTATGTAAGAATGAAATGTTAATAAGAAAATTAAAAAAAATCTTGCATGTTGTACTGTTGTATTTTTTCAATTAAAAACTTTAAAATTGCGATAGTTTTACGATTGTTAGCATTTAAACATCGCTAGATTTAAATACAAGTTAAAGAATTCCGGTAAAGTAAATTAAACAGATGTGCAATGATTATTAATTGGGAAATGTAACATTTAATTTTTAAGATTAAAAGTACTATTCTTTTAACTTCATATCTTAACTTTATGCTAATTGCATAGAACGTAACCGAAAATTGTTCCATTTCAATATTGTAACACTTCCGGAATTAAAAAGTTGAATGTTACTTTTCAATTAATTTATACAATTTGATTATTGTTTCTCTATTGTCATCGGGTATTTCATCTGAGTATATTAATCACGCTATACTCTTTCTGTTAATCCATTCAAAATGACAATATTCACACCTGTGTACGCTTGAATTCACACCTGTGTGCGCCTGAGGCTAAATTGCTGCAAGGTAAAGTTCAAACGAATTCTCCTCAAATCGAGAAATAAACAATGACTTTACAAAATAATATACACACTCTGTTCACAAATATTTTGCATTGAAATGGTTATCAAAGTTATAACGGTAAATAAAACTTAAAATATTTTCAGTTCAATATCAGTAAAAATGTTCTATAGATATTTTATGAAAAAATCTCAATAATTTATGAAATTAATTCGAAAATATTTATATTAAGTTAATTTCTAATAGGAAGTTTTATTCAATCAATACAAAACGGTACACGCATATTCAATTTCTTTCATTCTTATATTGTGGTTATTAACTACGACCAACGATCATCTGTGCGCTTTTAATTACGTAAAATTTCGATAAGCAATTAAGTCTTTAAAAGATTTTATTTTTTCCCATGATTCAACAACTCGGGTTAAAACGTCACAACCCAGTGACGTAGGTCAACCAAAAAAGTTACAAATACTTGATTTTCTCCGTTATTAGAAAGAATATAAATTTAAAACTTTGTGAATGTGTTTTTTATGTTAAGATGAACATATTTAGATGATAAGTAAAAAATCGCGGACTTTCCCTTTAACTCATCAGATGGATAAAAATACAAATACTACAAATACAAGTGGACGTGGCCGGGTACTTGTACATCCAAACAACAAAAAGACACTAAGTACAGATCTGAGAGTACTCGCAGTTACTGACAGCTAGTACAAAGCCACTAACAACTAATAAAAAAAATCATGCATCTAAGACTAAGTTCTTGTTCACTGATCCATGAAATGAGGTCTAGGTCAAGTGAAAACTCTCTGACGAACATGAGGACATTGCAAGGTATGCACATACCAAATATAGTTATCCTATTACTCATAATATGAGAGAAATTAACATTACAAAAAATCTGAACTTTTTTTTCAAGTAGTCACTGAACCATGAAAATGAGGTCAAGGACAATGGACATGTTTCAGACAGAATTCGTATCATGAGGCATCTATATACAAAGTATGAAGCATCCAGGTCTTCCACCTTCTAAAATATAAAGCTTTTAGGAAGTTAGCTAACGCCCACTGCTAACGCCACCGCCATAGCCACCACCGGATCAATATCCCTATGTCGAGCTTTCTGCGACAAAAGTTGCAGGCTCGACAAAAATACATGAACATTTTAAAGTACTAAATTTTGAGTATATACATGTAAAACCACAAGTTACTGACTGAAGTTCATGGTGAACTGTAACCAAAAACTTAAAGTGAATACAATTTAGAGAACGACAGATGGATGCACAAACACTATCATAACAGAGCATAAAACTTACCAAACAAGATGTTTTACATTTATCCTTCAGAAGCAGGAAAACTGAAGTGTTTCTTTTCTTTCTCTGCCCTCCAGGATATAAACTTCAAATTCATTCATGCAAAATATGAAAATCTGCAAAAGTAGGACTTTGTACCGCAGCTTATCCACATTTTGACTTTTGAACTGCATTGTTCTTTTCATCTTGCTGGCAACCTAAACATAAAAAAAAATGATAAACACATAATTCTGGATTAACTTTCTGTATTTATTTTTGTTGGTACAAACAATTTTTTCCAACTTTAAACTAAATCTGCCTCTGCTTTAAAAATCAACTGAAAACCATGTATTTATCTTAATTGAAAACAATTTCTCTCATTTGTATCACCCTGTTATTATATATAAATTTTATTTTTGTCCCTTTTTAAAAATAGGAATGGTTCAAATTCCTCAATAATCATGATAATTCTAGTCAGTCAATTAAAAATGTATGAATAAATTATTTAACCTGTATACTATCATGACTATTAATATAAATATATTTCATTTTTGATAAAAACTAGGCTCTGTGTTGAAGACCATACCTTGACCTATAATGGTTTACTTTTATAAATTGTGTGACTTGGATGGAGAGTTGTCTCATTGGCACTCATACCACATCTTCCTATATCTACAAACAGATTCTATGGGCGAGCAGACATTATACCCTGGAGGTGGTTTTAAAAAAAGCATATGACTTAGATGTACCATAAGCATGGAAAAACAATTCAGCAGTCAGTTTCACAAAAAAACTTACAAATAACATTGATAGTAATTAAGTCATGTACAATACAGTATACTTACGATAAATTGTAAGTTTTTTTTTTTTGTAAAACCGACTCAAGTATACTTATAATCAATCTTAGTCGTAAGTATTAAGTATTATTCATCTTTTGGATAATTTGTTGGTTTATTTTATGAATATACAGTGGCAGATCCAGAACTTTTCATAAGGGAGGGCCGGCTCCAGTCATGCTTCAGTGATCCCTATATAATCAACCAAATTTTTCCCAAGAAAGCCCCCCCCCGGATCAGCCTATGATATATGTTTATATATCTCTCTGATATGCCATTCAAATCAAATGTGTATTAAATAAAACTTTACACTAGAAAAGTCATGGATAGTTACTCATTTGGGAAACTTACAAGTCCACAGCATGCCGGTGCCTGTGACTGTGTTCAAAGTGGTGGGTTTTCACCCTCGTTGTATACACCTTATCGCTATTTGTCCGCCATTACTGGACATCACACAAGTTCCCGTAAAATTTTGACGTCATAATAGAAAATGTCTGACGCCACAATGGAAAAGTGATTGTTGTATGACGTCAAAAGTTCGAGCGGGACAGATTCTCGGGTCAAGCGGGAATAGCGATAAGGTGTATTGCGGAATAACGATTTAGGCAAATTGAGGAAAACATCATGTCTGTGGTTGATAATAGTGTGTGTGCATTAATTTAATTTTCAATACCTTCATATTTAATATTTTTCCAATTTTGAGTACTGACGGCAAGTGTTGTAACCAATGTCTTGAGACCAATGTGCTATTTACAAGTGCGATCGAAAAATGCAGGGGAAAGAAACTTATCAATTATGTTTATTCTTAAGACAAAACTGAGCTGCCGTAAAAATGAACCGTGTCGAGGAGGTAACTGACACGTAATAGGGCAGAGACATATTTACACATATGTGTATATATGTCTCTGTAATAGGGTCATCCCTCGAGAACATTAACTAGTACATTGATAGTTTAATTACTATGCAGTCAGTATCCCGAAGAAAAAAAACGTATGGATGCAAAACGCTTAGTGGTTTCGGCTGACTACTAATACGTGCACTTTGTCTAAAAAATATCCCAGCAGCGTAAAAGTTGAAGTCAGGATCTTGGGGGGGGGGGGGGGGTCTTCTTTTTCTGTGTTCTTTATTTTTTTTTTGCTATATTTCTACAAACTTACACTTTTTGCTCATTACTCTCTTTCCTCATATTTTAGCATTTCATTATTCTTTAATCTTTATTGTTTGCCCGTTATTCTCTATTCTGTTAACCCCCATCCATACTTAAGCTTTCAGTAGTTTATTTTATCCTATTTCTGTCTAAATACATTATTTATCACAAAACACAAACTTACTTAATAATTTTTTATGAAGTCCTCACCAGTTGCGGATCCAAAAAATGTCATAAGGAGGCACTAACTGTCATGCATAAAGAGGGGGCCCGCTTCATTGATTCTCTAAATAATCAACCAATTTTTTTCCAAAAAAGGGGCGGCCCCCCATGCCCTCACCTTAATCCACCTCTAAACCCTTCCCACTTCGTATCCTTGAATTCAGATTCAAGATCTCTCTGACAAAAGTAAGTAAGTAAGTCACATTTGCTTATATCAGGTTTTTGAATTGAACTGGCGGATAGTTGTTTCATTACCAATCGTACCACATCTCCTTATTTATATATATACGAAAGATTTATTCATATTTTTTGGTGTATTGATGAATGTGTAAAGATGCAGCAATTGTAATACATTTTAAAATACAGCACAAGAGATGCAGATTATATAAAACCAATCTCACTATACAAATCCTTGATAAAACTTATAAGTCGAAGACATACTGACAAACGCCATGGCAAAAACTTAAAAACGACCAAATGACGTACAACAGTATATAAAACTTGACTATAGCATTTAAAACACATAAGAAGCACCCAGACAGTCAAACAGAAATTAAAAGAATAAATAATTTGTAAAGATTTTCAACTAGGCCTACAGCTATATTTTCTTATCCGCTAAACATAGGTTCTGGTATTATGTGATAAGTCATTTTTCATGCAGACCCAGTTTTATTGATACCTTGAACTTAAAGTGGTTTTATGCATATCAGCCCAGATTATGTGTGTAATTTTATTGAACAATTCAACAATACACGTTCTAAACAGGTTAAATTCAATTTAAAAATTTACAAATTCAGATCTACTGGCATTCAACACCCAATTACTTACTTGCTGTATATTGCTAACTTTGATTGTATATTGTCAATCCCTCCACATCGTGAATACGCCATGCGAGGTGTTGGATAAGTTTGATACAGGGTGGCGGCTTCGAAGCGTAGAAAAAAATCCAGGTAAATGAAAGTGTAAAATTGTGTTGTTGAAAATTTTAAGTACTAAATTCCTAAATTTGTACTTAACTCCGGAGTTCTACGGGTAACATGGTTGTTTGATATGAAAATAGGATAAAAAGCATCCGGAAAAATTAATTATCACGTTATAAGTATATTCGTAAATGGATATGAAAAAACTTAACAAGGAATAAGTATTGGTAAACGGACAGAAAGTCGTAGGACAAAGGTTTAGATTAATTATTTTACAATTGTTTAAATATATGAGAGAAAGTTCTTGACGAATTGACTTTATTTATAGATAAATGTATTTAGTTGAGGAAATGATTAATTCGCCTTCAAATAGTTTTTTTTTTATCAATAACTTGTAAAAAGGAGACATTTTTGACAGCATGACTTCAGTTAATTACCAAACCACTTTTGCAGATTGTTTTCTTAACAATCATTGTTTATATTAATAATCAAAAATAAATTTTGTTTACAAGTCCGTTTCCTTTTAAAAATGTTTCAGAAAAATACTGAAACGTTTTTAAAATTAAGTTTATTCAAAAAAAATATCCCAAAACTGAATCGTGACTTTTTACTTGTTACTTTTTGTTGAACGTTCTAAGTGTCAAACCTAGCAAACAAAAATTTGGAAATAAAATCGATTACAATGTAATTTTATAGAAGGAAAAAGGGGGGTTAATGAACAAATTATTACTATACACTCACATACTTCTAAAAAGATTTGCATATGTGTAAGCTGTCTATATTATAGATAATGTTAAATTATTTCAGGAGTTTCAATTAATTTAGTAGAAAAAAAAGTTTATAAACAGTTTAGTTTTCAACGCCTACTACTACAAAAAATAGTGATTCTTTTTGTAGATTTGGTACTTCAGTTTCGACTCAAAATTTCCTATTGTAATTGTTAGATGCCAAATATTTAGGAGAAGATTGTATTTGTACTTTATGTAATTGTGGTGATATTGGCGACGCGATTCATTATATTATAGCAAGGATTTGTAAAAATCCTTGATTATAGAATGTTCGGCAATAGACGAAAGTAGACAAACCCTATTTAAACGGGGTTTTGATCTCCAAGGACGCCACATTTTACATCGAATAAGATCTATATTTGTTAACGTTTTCAAATGAAATAACTTGAATTGAAAATTTCCCGACTATGTGAAGATTTCTTATATTTCTAAATGGCTTCAATTATTACATACAAAACGAAGAATTTATTTAACTTTTTTTGTAAAAACAATATTCATGTATTTTTATATTTTTTCCAAGGAAACGTTATTTTTTTTGTTTGTTTGCAAAGTTTACTTGTATGTGTTTATAACCATCACCAATCAGTCCTAATTATTAAAGATCAAACGTTGTAATCAAAATGATGATTGGTATTGAATATGATAATCGGTCATGCATGACGTATCCCAAATAACTTCTTTAATGTTGGTTTGATTTTATCAAAACCAAAATTATAAGATCAAATATTAAATTATCTATCGAATGTATACCCTCAACGCTCACTAAAACATATATACATGTCCTGAGTGACTTTTTATGTCCTGTCTGCACTCAGGAGGTCCTGAGCGGTTTTTAGACGTACCGTTAATTTACAGGCATATATTTGAAGCTGTTCTTAATTATGTACATTATCTATAGGTATACATGTATCAGACAAAAAGACTTTCCAATGAACTTAGTTCTAGTTATCTTAGTTCCTAGTCACAGGCACTTGTCTCAGAAAAAAAAATGTCCTATATACTTTTAATGTTATATTAAGCAGGGACTTTCTATACTAAGTTAGTATAGAAAGTCCCTTAATAAGGTATATAGGAAACAAAATTCTGAGACAAGTGCCTGTGGTCCTAGTGTGAAATAAATCCACTGGGAATTGGCCTTTTTAAACACATCTATATATACGTTTTCTCAAGGGTTTGTACATGTAAAGTGAAATTATGTTTACTCAATGCGTAGTTACATAAGTTTATTTTCTACTTTTTTCTTCTTCATTTTATATAAATGATTTTTTTTTTTAATTTTAACATTTTTTTCTTCGAAAGAATTGTAGTGTTGCAATAGGGAATGGACACAGATACTTAACTACATTTAACGAAAAAAAATTTGTGTAATGTCATCAATCTGTATTACACATAGACAGGATGTTCTCTAGAAAACTATGATATTTCTAATACGTTATACACACCCCAGGGTACACGCACTGTCGTGATGGAAAATTACTGCATGCTTTAATTACCTGTAATCAGCCATGCAACAAATCAGTTGACTGACCATGTCATTACAGTTTAAAAAGTTTTTCCTCAGATCAAAACGGAATATTCATTTTAACTTTAAAATTTAAAACTTTAAAAGTAAACTTTGATATAATTATGACGTTAAAGAATTTAACAATTTAATAATCGGATTTTCCCAAAGATTAAGATACAATTATATTTATTATTCTGGGACTGACAAATATATCACAGGCACTTGTGTCAGAATTTTTTTCCTATATACTTTTATTAAAGTATATAGGATTTTTTTTTCTGAGACAAGTGCCTGTGAGATATATACATGCATAAGTCCCAGACATATATAATTGTAAATCAAAATGATTTACATAATTACTGGGAAATAATATAATGTTTCAGTTATGTTGATGTCACAAATACACATGAATTATTTGATGATGCATGATGGAATTTCTTATCTAACTGCATGACGGTGACCACAGACATATATATATATCCATTTACTAATTCTATAATTTCTTGAGAAAAAAATCAGGAGGGAAGTCAGAGGGAAGTGAAACAAACATTTCAAGCTTTTATTAAAAATTGTTGGGAAAACAATAAAATACGACACTGAGTTTTGAAAAAAAAGTTTATGATTGGTCTTAATTTTTTTTTTAATAGAGATAGAAACAATTTTTTTGTCCCAAGAAAAAAAAACAATGCCCCCTTTTTAGCCAACCCGACACACGCCGATGAATGAAGAATTCCAAGTAGGGTCACAAGGTCACATTTTAAAACTTTTTCAGTCGCCCAGTCTCAAAAAGCAATTTTGACTGGCATTGTTTTTAGTCGAATTATGTTTTTGCAGGTCAGGTTGCAAAGTGGCAGGTCGCGATCGGATTTGACAATGTCAAGTTGACAACGGTCCTAAAAAATATCCGAAAAAACGTTGAATCAAACGATATGAACCTACGCAGTTTTATATTATAAGACTGACACACACCAGTGTGCTAACTGTGCTGGGTGAGGTGCTGTAACTTGATATACATGTATCATTAAGTTACAGTACTGTTAGGATTTGCCTGCCTTTTTACAGCCTGGGGTCTTTCTATACTAACTGTTAGTATAGACTGCCCCTGGCTTGAAAGTATGGTTCTCTGCTCATCAACGGGTGCGTGATTAGCAATTTAAATATCTTGTAGCAGTAAAATACCTCCGGGGGGGGGGGGGGAGGGGCACTTCAATACTTAATTGATAGGGGGTGTCGCTGGGGTTCTGTTACCCCACCCTATTCATATAATTTAGATCTTAAAAATGTATTATACCTTTTCATATATTGCGAGGGTAAAATTGTAACCTTTTCCCATATTGGTTGGTTTTCGTGGGGTGTGTTGGAAAAGTGGAATATTTAAGGCTAAGATTATGTATATAATGTTTACTTACGGCGAGACTTTCGGCTGTGAAAAAATGACAGGGCTTTTCATATACAAGTAATTGGAACTTTATCGACCTTATCATATATTTCTGATAGTTTTCCCCACCTATTCCCATATTTTCAAGCTGGAAAAAGTCATATCACCTTGTATATAGGAAGTGCCCCCCCTCCCCCCGAGTAAAATACACAAATGTATAATACCTTAATTCAGGAGCACAGTCTGTCTTTACCGTAAATAACTTCGAGATTAATATGTAAGTTTACTTTGCTAATCGATGTTCCTGTAATTCAGATTTAAATTTATTTGTGAGACCCCCGTCACTATTTATATTCACTCAAAGAAAGGGGTTCTCCGTTACTGGGAAAATCCAAGGACGTATTGTGTTAGTTATACGTCCTTGGAAAATCTTATCTGATTCAGGATCAATTTATCGGTTACACTCCCCTATCACCAGTGATTCTTTGTGAACTGACATTCTGAAAAATACTTATATTCCCCTGGAAAAAGGTATACTGTTGACTATCAATTTGCATGATTAGTTACAGATGTCGACTCGGACTACTGCAGAAGACAATAATTCAGTTCACTGATTTAGATTGAATAGTGGTTCGGTTAATCCCCTCTTCCCCAAACAAGTAAGAATTAGGTTACATCTTTTGGTAGTCCAAATAATTATGACGTCTAGCAAGGGTATTTTATTATTTTTATGCCCCCGCTGTAGCGGTGGGGGCATTAAGTTTTACCCTTGTCCGTCTGTACGTACATACGTCCGTACGTCCCAAAATTGGTTTCCGTTCTCTAACTTGAGTTTGCCCCTTTATAAATGGGAAAATTGCAAAATTTTTATTTTCTTCTAAATATCAAGTAATTTTTAAAATTGGAATTATCTCCCTTTGTCCATTATTATAGTTGAATCAACTACAATCAATGCTTTATACAATGCAATGTTTAATTTTGACTTCCACTGATAAAACACAGATCAAGTTGAATTTGGGTAGTGTCACTTTAACCATTATTGAGTTATGCCCCTTTATAAATTGAACGATTGCAAATTTTTAGTTTCCATTCTGTAACTTAAGTTTGCCTGAACCAATCATTATGAAACCTATACCCAATATTCATTACCACAAAACTAAGATCAAGTACAAATTTTTTGTTTCCGTTTTCCAATTTTAGTTTGCCTCAACCAAATGTTATGAAACTTATACACAATGCTTATTACTACATAATACAGATTAAGTACGAAATTAGGTGGCGACAAATTACCATTCTTGAGTAATGTCCCTTTATAAACATAAAAATTGCTGAATTTTTCGTTTCCGTTCTCTAACTTTAGTTTGTCTCAACCAAATGTTATAAAACTTATACACAACCGTTCTAGAGTTATGCGTGTTTACAAATAGAAAAATTGCTGAATTTTTAGTTTCTGTTCTCTACTTAAGTTAGCCTCAACCAAATGTTATGAGACCTACATACAATGCTTATTACCACAAAACTCAGATCAAGTTCAAATTTGGGTAGCGTCACTTTTACCGTTCTTCAGTTATGTCCCTTTATAATTTTTCTATCTATCTATCTTCATATTTCCGCACTCAGTCACAACTTTGACTATTACGTGCCCAGAAAAAAGTTAAAATAGCCTTGCAAGACGTCATAATTATTTGGACTAATCTTTTGGCAAATATGGTCGTACCACAGGGGTTTGTTACAATTTGCCGGGTTTTCTATCCTTACGAACCCTGAAAAACTTACCAGGCCAGGTGATAACAAATCTGTCTCCCCTTTTTATCCCACCAGAAAATCAAAAGGTTGTCTCCTTACACCTACATGACAAAAACATATACAAATATGGTATCATTGCCAATGTGACGGCTCTTCAACAGAAACTTAAACCGTAGAAGTTAACAACTATATAGGTCACCGTACAGATTTCAACAATGGGCTAAAAAGCCAAACTGCGTAAGAAGCTACAAAAGGCTAAAATAGATAGACAATATCCGACAAGGGTAGAAATGTTCAGAATGTTGAAAAAAAAATCTACTGTCCATTTGCATCAAAACTAGCAGCTGACTCATAGGAGTTGTTGCCTTAAATACAGATTTTAACCATTTTTTTTTCTTCATATTTCTTGAATTTGCCTTTTTATCTCGAAAACTGTAATAATTAAAGAGAAACTTAAATCTTATTAAAAAGTTATTGCTTTTCAATGATGATTTTGATCCAGTTTTTGCAAAAACTTGGAAACTTTAAATCTTGGGTAAACTCCTTATATTATACTGCCTGGTCTCGTGGTAGCGTGTTCACCTCACATGCAGAAGGTTGTTTATTTTTAACCCAACCGGGTAAAACCAAAGACTTTAAAGTTGGTATTTGCTGCTTCTCCCCTAAGCACGCAGTATTATTAAGGAGTAAGAGCAAATACTGGTTTGTTCAGAGTCAGAATAATGTGTCAAGATAAGGTGACATGTCTCTCTGAGAACTAGTGTTTGAGATAAATTGTCTGGTCAGACAAATATAACTAGTATAAAAAGTGCATGGATACAGAATTAACTAGTATATTTAGTCCGATGTCAGTAATTTATGTCCCCAGACTAATTTTCCTAGTCCATGACATCACTATTCCTAGGTAATAACATGAATAAGGCCCCTATATTTGGTGAATGGAATGATTGTGAGATGCACAGTCTGTCTGGCATGTTTTATATGACCTTGACCTCATTTTCATGGTTCATTGGTCAATGAAAAGTTTGCATTGTTTTGTCAGTTCATCATATGCTTTAAGCAACAGGTAAATTATATTTGGCGGATGTAACGATTGTAAGGTGTGCATGTCTGTCTGGCAGATTCATATAACCATGATCGCATTTTATGGTTCTTTGGTCAATGCTAAGTTTTCTTAGTTTTTTATACGGTCATATATTGGTATGACGTTGGCGTTGTTGTCGTCCGAAGACACATTGGTTTTCGCACTCTAACTTTAGTTTAAGTGAATGGATCTCTATGAAATTTTACCATAAGGATTGATTTTGGGGGTTATGGTACCAACAGTTAAGGAATTAGGGGCCAAAAAGGGGCCAAAAATAAGCATTCTTGTAACTTCCAGACATAACTTGTGTGTTAGTTTATGGATCTCTCTGACATTGTTCCACAAGGTTCTATATCACACAGGGAATGCTGGGATTGATTTTGGGGGTAATTGCCTCAAAATATTAGGAATTAGGGGCCAAAAAAGGGGCAAAAAACAAGCATTTTTCTAGTTTCATGACAATAACTTGTGTGTAAGTGTATGGATCTTTCTGAAATTGTACTACAAGGTTCCATATCACAAAGGGAAAGCTGGAATTGAGTTTGGGGGTAATTGCCCAAAACGTTTAGGAATAAGGGGCCAAAAAGGGGCCAAAAATAAGCATTTTTCTAGTTTCCAGACAATAACTTGTGTTCAAGTGTAAGGATCTCTCTGAAATTGTACTGCGAGGTACCATACCACAAAGGGAAGGCTGGGATTGATTTTGGGGGCAATTGCTTTAAAATTTTAGGAATTAGGGGCCCCAAATGGGGCAAAAAACAAGAATTTTTCTAGTTTCATGACAATAACTTGTGTGTAAGTGTATGGATCTTTCTGAAATTGTACTACAAGGTTCCATATCACAAAGGGAAAGCTGGAATTGAGTTTGGGGGTAATTGCCCAAAATGTTTAGCAAAAAGGGGCCAAAAATAAGCATTTTTCTAGTTTCCAGACAATAACTTGTGTTCAAGTGTATGGATCTCTCTGAAATTGTACTGCAAGGTACCATACCACAAAGGGAAGGCTGGGATTGATTTTGGGGGTAATTGCCTCAAAATTTTAGGAATAAGGGGCCAAAAAGGGGCAAAAAACAAGAATTTTTCTAGTTTCAGGACAATAACTTGTGTGTAAGTGTATGGATCTTTATGAAATTGTACTACAAGGTTCCATATCACAAAGGGAAAGCTGGGTTTGAGTTTGGGGGTAATTGCCCTAAACTTTTAGGAATTTGGGGCCAAAAAAACAAGCATTTTTCTAGTTTACAGACAATAACTTGTGTATAAGTGTATGGATCTCTCTGAAATTGTACTGCAAGGTACCATACCACAAAGGGAAGGCTGGGATTGAGTTTGGGGTGATGAATCATAAGGGGGTTCAAAAAATTGGGGGGGGGGATTTTTTTCCCCTTTTTTTCCTTTTTTTTTCTTTAAAATTTTCCATTTTAAATTGGTTATTTCTGATTTATATATAAAAGCAAATAATAATGATATGGTTTGAATAGGTAAATTAAAAATTTTTAAGTTCTTAGACCACATTCATTCTGTGTCAGAAACCTATGCTGTGTCAATTATTTAATCACAATCCAAATTCAGTGCTGTATCAAGCTTGAATGTTGTGTCCATACTTGCCCCAACTGTTCAGGGTTCGACCTCTGCGGTCGTATCAAGCTGCGCCCAGCGGAGCATTTTATTCATTTTATCAGATATTATAAGCATATGTCTACTTGTTGGTGTATGGAATGACTACAAGGTGTCATATAAAAATAAGAAGATGTCTGTCTGCCAAGTTTAATGTTACTGTGACCTCATTTTCATAGAATATTGATAATATCAAGCAAAAATGATGAGCAAGACAAAATACAAATGATCCAAAATTGTCAGTTGCCTACTCATTATGTAATAGTAGTTATTGTCATTAAATGATAATGTTTACCCTTTTATGTGTAGGGCAAGAACATTAAAGATAAAGGGAAACTATAAACAAAAGAAATTATCAACAAAAATAGATTTACAGACGTAAACAAAGCCTAAATGGTAAGTCCACTTCTATAAAAGTTATTGCCCTAGAATAATGATTATTATGAAAATAAGATGTGGTATGATAAATGAGAACACTATCCACCAGAGTTCAATTAAGTGGATGTAAGCAATGCAATTACTTATTAGAGGCCAATGATGACCTGTACATAATGACAGGCAATATATGGCAGGGTTGATATAAAAATAAAAAGCGGTACGATTGCCAATGAGACTTTTCTCCAATAGAGATCAAATGACATTAAATTTAACAAAATTAGTTCACTGTACAGCCTTCGACAATGAGCAAACCCTATACTGCATAGTAATCCATAAAAGGCCATGAAATAACAAATGTAAAACAATTCAATAAGGGCATGCCGTCATTTAAAAAGGGCATGGTGTCTATCCATGCTAAACATGCTTGGGGGAAACACCATAAAGATGAAAGCTAAGTGCCTGATTTTTGCACAAAACAATAAACAAAAAACAAATATGATATATAGCAACAATTGACAACCACTGAATAATAGACCCCTGACTTGGGACAGACACTTACAAAATGTGGCATGGTTTAACATGTTTGCTGGCGCCAAATCCTCTAATTAAGGACAGTGGTGTAAGTGTCAGTTCAATATAAATACTATAAAATCAGTTGAAAAGGGTTTTTTTCTGCTCTTGGGTCAGGTTATTTAAGGAATGACTATAATATTTTTTCTGTCTATGAAGAAATAACATCAAAAATGTGGTGCACACTGAATAACCCGCGTAGCGGGTTATTTTGAAGTGTGCACCACATTTTTTATGTAATTTCGAATAGACAGAAAAAATATTACAGTCATTTCTTATAATTTAATTCTAAATTCCATTTTAAACCGTAGTTAACCATGAAAAAACGTTGATGACGTCACAGTCACATGACAAAATTATGTCTATGAGCTGATAAACAAACAACGTCAGCCAATCAGAAGACGCGTTACATCCAAAATTAAATTATTTTGATACATTCCCATTTTTATTCTCAATTTTATTAACTTATTAGAATGCAACAAAGCAGAAAAACAGCTACCAAAAACACAGACCGGATGTGGCTGGAAATTTATTCTTTCCCTTTAACAAAAAAGACTCAACATACAGATCTATTAGTACTCACAGTTACTGACAGCTAATTCAAAGCAAATATCAACTAATAAAATAAACATTTAGTGAGCACCCAACCCACCCCTAACCTGGGACAGTGGTTTTAATAACAGCACAACATTTGAACAAACTGTAAACATTTGTTGCAATTGGCTTAACTCGAAAGACTGCAACAAGGCACAAAAAACAACTAATATGAAAACCATAGACACAAAGCACTGAAATAAGAGTTCTTACAATTTTAAATATTCAAATGAAATTTTTATCAAAATATACATAAACATGATAAAAAAGCCATTTTATTGCTGTATTTCTCTTCATTTATAATTTTTGAGTTTTGTGTATTTGTAGGTCAGACATCTTGGTTTTCATGATCATCATTCAACAGGTCAATACTGAACAGCAAACCTAAAGTTGATATTTTGTCTACATAGTGTGACTTTTTTATTAATTTGAAATGGAATGTGTTTTTTTTCCTACATAAGAAAGAGGAAATTTCAACATAATTACTATAAACAAAAAGGAGTCATATCATCATGATCATAGATGCTCAAGAACTTAATCATGTAAATGCAACAATGTAATTATCAATTGAAAGAAGGGAGGAATGAAAAAATATATTAGTATTTTGTTGTCCAAATGAACTTGCTTTGTCCACTCATTTAAATCGCTCCATCCAATAAAGATGTACGGAGGAAGATTTTTGAAGAACAGATTGCATAAATGTTTTGTCTTAGAATTGTAGGAATATTGTAGTGGATGAAATAATTTATTTACTTGACTCTTATATAGTGGACTGAACTAATTGTTCATAGCAAGCTGAAACAAGAAAACTAAAACTTAACAGGAAAAGTGTTTATTTTATAAATTTACAAATATAAATGTAATATTATGAACACCACAAAGGAATGAGATTCAAATCATTTGCATATTCATGTATTGCAATGGAACTATAACAAAGAAAACTTTACCTCATAAAAAGAGTAAACTATTAACTGTGCTTTGTCAATTTATTCAGTCAGAATATGAAATATTTTTTTCAGTTCTATTTTTCATAATAAAACAAAGAAGACAAAGATTTCAAATCAATATTTTTTTCTTTTATTAAGACGTCATCATTTTATTTCAGTTAAAGGATTTTATTTTTTGACTTTAGATATTATTATATTTTCAAAATAATAATAATCTTTATTGTCATATAAACAAATTAAAAACATGTTTGTGACAAAATGAAAAAAACCAAAATACACTCATATATATATTATAAACTTTTTACTACCAAACAGAATTCATTGTAACATACACATTACTGTATATTTATAATTTGAATTCCATAGGATTTTATTTTGTCCCATGGGATATTAAAAATCCCATGGGATAATTATAGTCCCATGGGATTTTTTTTGTCCCATGGGACAACAAATATCCCATGGGACTACAATTATCCCATGGGACCCAAAAAAATCCCATGGGATTTAACCAAAATCCCATGGGATAATGGTCAATCCCATGGGATTTGCCTTATCCCATGGGATATTGAAAATCCCATGTTTTTCTAAATCAAATTACAAAATATATATAATAATAACAGCAGAAAAGCAATGAAATTATTGAATCCCATGTTATTCCGCACATTTTGGTTATTTACACGACACTGTAGGTCTAAGGAGAGGCGGCGGCGGATTTGCAAATGAGTGTTTTGCAAATTAAAAGTGTCCAGTGTTTAAATATTGATGTCTGACAGATAAATGTCATGTGTATATCTGATGGAAGTTATTTGATGGGTTGATTTTCGAATTCAAGTAGCCAAAAAAAATAAGACCTTATCGGACCACATCAACCTTGGGTCAACACTATGTAATATTTAATGATGATTTTTGATCATTGTTGAAGGCCTCACTGTGACCATGTTCTTCGGTCTTTTGAGATATTTGTCTCATTCACTGGGGAAAGCAGATACGCGTTACTGAAGTTACCAGTATCTCAATATGGATGACGCCAAAACTGCTCCCATTTATCTATGCTTCGATCCGAGAGAAAACAATTTAAAAAGGGTATATTTCAGGTATAATTCCATATAAAAAAGACTATAATCTTACACAACCGTTACGATGTATCCCTATAATGAGAAAATTGGGCCAAAAATAGTTTGTAAAGGTGTGCGTAACTGAAATACTATTATAATGGTCTCTTTTTTTGGTAGAAATTGTAGGTCAGGGATGACCATAGCTGTGTTATAATTCACACGAATTTATCAAACAACAAATTAATTCATTTAGTTTCAATGGTAAGAGACCAAGGCCAACTGTGATAAATGATAAGATAATATACTTATCCCAAAGGAACATATTTTAGATAAGATAATTTTTTTATCCCAAAAGAACTTATTTTAAATAAGATAATAATTATCTCAAAAGATCTTACTTTAAATAAGATAATATACTTATCCCAAAGGTACTTACTTTAGATAAGATGATATACTTATCCCAAAGGAACTTACTTTAAATAAGATAATATAATTATCCCAAAAGAACTTATTTTAAACAAGATAATATACTTATCCTAAAGGAACTTACTTTAAATAAATCCAATATTAACAGCAATAACTGTCCTTTCCTTTATTTGAATATTGCAGTTTTACACGAGAAAGTCTACACAAAAATTTAACCCGAAAAGGGACAATTTTTCTTTCCCTATTGTTAATTTTTCTTTTTGGATGGTGATGTTTCATTGTGACTTATTTATACAAACTCGTTCGCTATGCCCGTGTCTGTAGTGACGTTTTGGATTTCAATGAGCGTAATTTATGTATTACTGGTAAATTATTCAGTCAGGGATTTTTCGTTACCACAAATTACTTAAAATATTTTCTAAATTTTTCCATAGATATGGTTGGGAAGTTCGGCTGTACTTGTAGAAAACTTATTTCAAACGGAATAGCACATTCTAATTTTTACGTTGATGTTATTTACCGAGTCCGGAAAATAAGATACGGTCCGGGTAAACTTATCGATCCTTTAAATAAACCTATTTTAAAAGGTTATCAATTCAACACTGAAATTAGATGTGTGAATATTGTTTTTATTGGTATGAATATTGATTTTGTTATCAGTAAATTAAAACCATACTTAATAATATTGTTATACACATATGTACATTCACGGTTCTACAATCTGTCGATTATCATACCTATATTTTGGCATTGCACAAGGTCAAGTTTTTTCTCTGACTGTTAATGAAGTCTTTACACAAAATCCATTGGATAAAGGATTTGTACTGATTGATATTCTAGTCTTAGATACATGATTGCGTGAAACCTCAGGGGTTCACGCATATTAATTAGTTAGAAATAAGGTCTATGGAGGAATATTCGGAACCCTAATTATTGTTCATTCGGAACATTTAAATTTCTTATCTGTATTAGCTTCCTGCAATTAAGAACACCTCCATACGGATCATTTAAGATATCTAAAACTTGGTAATAAAGAACTTTAAACAGATCGCTTAACCTCACTTTTATGCTACATGTGCTATATGGTAATAAAAGATATAGTTGATAATCTATATAAAAAAAATAAAAATAGATTCCCATACGTATAATTCTTAAAGAATAATAATGATTCAAAACAAGGACACATGTACCTCAGTCTTTCAAAAAATCATTAAATTAATCTAGAAATAATTAATGAGGCATTGTGTAATGGTCAACTAGTAGGAGACATTAATTAATGTTCCTTTCAACTGATCATCAATAAGTGTAGCTCTACCACGAGACGCATTGAGAGATTAAATGATCTAATATAAAACCATTTTTGTAGAGGCATAACTTTTAAGTTCAAGATACAAAAGATTTCATTAATAAAACACACGAGGTAAAAAGGGAATGCTTTCTTATTGCCTATGATGAAACGTAAATGTACACAAATATGATCATTGATAATTTAAAAGAAACAGTTATCAATTCAGAAGAATTAATTGACACAAAAGAATATCCTTTAAAGATTCTCAACAAAAAAGATTACACTGCATTTGTTTAATTTATTCTAAGAAACAATAAATTTGAGTTTAATGGAAAGTTATACAAACAAGTTATAGGAGCGCCCCCTCCATAAGTGGTATATTTTCACCATCATGCACATATCTGCATCTGTCTGTCCTATTAATAAATATCTTAGATAAGTTCAAATGGAAAGAAAACATCAAATTACACTGTCAATATAGAGATGGCGGTTTTATGGTCTTGACATGCAAAATAGAGCAAGTAGAAGTAGAAAATTTCCCCTATACTTAAGTTCACATATGAGGTAGTAGTTGGGATACTTTTGAAAAGGGACCCATGCTTGAAAAGTTAACTGTAAGCAAAAAATCCCAAATCACTGTTTATAATTTCTAAATTATAGGCAACAAACATAAGTTAGCAAAAAACAGTGTAAAGTTTTGAGATTTATTACGTATGTTGATTTAAGGAACCGCATTTCATAATAATCGAATTATCCTGCGACTGTTATGATTATATAATATTTGGTAAACTGCTTGCCAATGAGAGAACTTTTCAATAAACATGGCGTTGAATGTTGAGTCTTAGCAAAGCGAGCTAAATGACATCAAATTGGCCAGTGTTTTACAAGATATAAATCAATGGCAATATTTTTATACAAAAAAAAAACCCAACGAAAAACAGACACAATAATAAGGAAACAAAAAAAAACAGGCTCCGGATTTGGACATGTATATTAAGTATACATGTATAAGCAGCAAATTGAATGTATTAGCTGGATCCAAACCCATTTCTAAGGTGGTACGGGATTTTACGGCACAAAATAAAATGGTAAGCAAGTAGATTTTGTCTTATTTGGTAGGAATAAAACTTTCACATTTTATGAAACAAAATATCGTAAAATTACTTAGGGATTCTAGTTGAAATATTACCTCTACCAATAAACACCCTAGAAGTGTCATCCATTGGTAGTAGTTTGACCTTTCACACTGGTACAAATGAAAGCTAACACCATCCAGAAATGAACTATTGAAATTAAAACATTCCTTATCTCCCTACTTTATATTTAACACCACTCTCAACATGTCGTAATTGTCCTGATTAAATTTTACAATAAAAAGAAAATATTATCCTCCACACACATGGTAATGAAAATACTGAGATATAATTTACAATTCAGTTGAAATAATAATTAGCATAACAAAAGTTCTAAGGTTCACGTATTGACTTTTTTTTTAAAAGCAACTTGCTTTTTTATTAGTCTTTATTGACTTTAAACTAGCTGTCAGTAATTGTAAGTACTATCAAATCTGTACTTTATGACACTTTTTGTAGTGAGGGATGTATAAATGCTATGCCCCGTCCGGTCTGTGTTTGTTAGATGTTTTTCTGCTTTGTATCAATCTGATGAGTTAAACCCTTTTCAACTGATTTTTATAGTTTGTTCTTATGTTGTACTGTTACACCACTGTCCCAGGTTAGGGGAGGGTTGGCGCCTTCAAACATGTTTAACCCCGACACATTCTGTATGTGCCTCTCCTAAGTTAGGAGCCTGTAGTTCAGTGGTTGTCGATGGTTCATGTCTGTCATATTTGTTTGTCGTAAATTTTTTTGTTATTAATTAGGCCGTTATTTTTCTCAATTGAATTGTTTCATACTCTTCATGTCGGGGCCTTTTATAGCCGACTATACGGTATGGGGTTTTCTCATTGTTGAAGGCCTTACGGTTGCTTATAATTGCTTACATCCACTTCATTTAAACTTTGGTGGATAGTTGTCTCGTTGGCAATCATACCACATCTACTTATTTTATATTATGTATGTAAGTTAGAATAATGTTCATAAAAATACAGACGGATGCGTGAAACACTTACATATGGCAAACGCGCGCAATAAATTTGTTAGTTCAAGGATGTAGGCACTAAGTTTGGTCCTTAAACAATTAAAAGACGTCAAAAGAGCATGCAGGACAAGTGTGTTTTCTTCTTTTGGCAATGA